TATCGTTTTGTTTTTCGTTTTCATTTTTAATTGTTTTTTGAAAATAATAATAGAAAACATGTTTGATAACACAAAATATTTAAAATAATATTTAATATAAAATAATAATAAATTAAAAATATTTAATTAAAATTTTAATAATTTAGAAGTAACACATAATATTTAATATTATATAACTAATTTTATTAATAATAATAAATTCATATTTAATTAAATAATAAAATAAAATTATTTAAATATTATAATTGTATTTAATGATTATAATATTATTTTTATTAAAATTTTATTTCATTTATTAAATTATAATATTTGAAACAATAATATTTGTTTTCAATATATAATAACATTATTTGTCAAACATGTTTTATGTTTTCAAATTTTAACAACACAACAAAATCAAATCAAATCAAATAAAAATTTTACAACCAAAAACAGGAAACAATCCTAAATGACCCCTAAATTAAGCAAGTTTTTTTTTTATATTTTTTATGTTTCACTTAATTTGATTGAGTTTGAGTAAGAGTGAGAAAGTGAAATTTTATTAATTTGCATTGAGACCATTTACAGCTTAGTCAATCTCATTGACTGAAAAAATTATCCAGCTAGAGTCCTGATGAGCCGCAAAGTGCCATTATCGTTTCTTGGGCATGCAAAGGAATCAAACCTCCACATGATCAGATGAGACATTCCTTCCTTTTAGAGGCTGTAAAAACTCACCAGAAAAAAATGCCTCATAAGTTCTTAGGACTCTTAGATTATGATCATGCAAATCAAGACTCCGTGCTTAAGATTAATTGACAAAAGATTTGTTGGAATGGTTAAAAATAATGTTCAAAACTCCACATGGACATGGTGGATATAGATTTGGAAATTTTCATAAATATTTTAAACTTGTTTTTGATGGATTGATAGAGTTGAAACAAATGTAAAAAAGTCACGAATAAAAATTTTTATTTTTTTAATTACAAATAAAATAAAGCATTAAGAAAAATAATTTAACTTACAATGATAAAATTTACTTGTATCATTCAGTATAATAATGCCATAGGTGTCAACAATTACATGATATATTAACAAAATATTAAATTTTTAGTTTTAATAAGAATAGAAATTTTTAACAATCCAAAGTATTAAAAATGTAATGTTCATAGGAAAGAAAGAAATTCTAATTAAAAAGCAGAGACTTTAGCTTCCTAAAAGCAATCCTTGGAAGATGTTAGTCGGCCTAGTTGGTTTACTACGTTAGTAAAAACCGCCCAATTGCCAAATGGCCAGTGCTTTGGCATCTTGCAGGCTATTAATGCATGTTGTCAATCGGTGCACGCAGGCCAAAGTTATTGTGTTATTAAAATATATTTAATACAAAAGAAGAAAGAGCTATTGTTTCCTTTGTCATAAAACAGAAAGACAGAGCTGAGACAAAGGTAAAATGGATAATTAAGACAAAACGACTGAGCGAAAGCGAGTCTAGTGGTAGAGAAACTACTGTAAAAGCTGCTAAAAAAAGGGTGTGATGTGATTATCAGATTCTCGTGGAAGAAGACAAATGAAACAAGGTTATATTTACTTTAAAATGTTGAACTAACATAAACAAATACATAAATATATAAAGCTGTGAAGCAGCTTTAAACATTCTCTCTCACTTTTAATTTGCATGAGTTACCAAAGCCTATAGCCGACGTTCTAGCCCTATTACATCCCAAAGCCTACGATCGCATATATCAAGGCCATTGCCCTCTCACTCTGGTGCGATCCCGAGATATATTCGAGAAAGGTACGGGACTGAAGGGTTGACATAGATCCTCCGCATGCGGGACTTGAGAGGTGTAGAGCTACAGTGCCAAAACAGTGATTCTTTTTATACGTGGTTTTCTTTGTTGCGAAACAGTCAAATGGTTTTCACTTTTCATTGATTTGAAGCGGAAGGTGGGGGAGGGTTTTATAAACCTGCCCTTTGGGTTTTAGATGCCCATCGGCAATACTTTCAGTGTACTATGGCGTCTCTCTTTTAGTATTATTGTTATTTATCATTGGGAATCGCTGAACTAAATTAACCAACGCACCCAAGGAAAAAAAATACCTTTTTTTGAGTTTTACTATTTTATTTAGTATTTGATAAAACAGAGAAGAGGTTAAAGTTGGTTTCTGGACCAGTTATATAGACTAGACAGCCAAGGTACCAAGCTCAAAGTTTGAAGTCAAAGATCACATTTCCACTATACTTGGATCGGCTAGGTTAAAAGTACCTCGATCCACCAATGAAGAAGGCCACCAAGGACAACGATACAGACTTTTATGGTTTAGATTTACATTTGTACGTTGTGTATGCGCTTTTTTTTTTTTAATCTTACATTGTTGTTATTTTAACATTTTACATTTATTTGATAAATTAAAAATATAAATATTAACTTTTTAAAATTTAAGAAAAAGAGGGAGAGGCGGAATTTCTATCTTACTAGATATGTAGGTCGAGGACGAAGAAAAAATTTCTGTACGAGGCACAGAGATTGGAGGGCTTGCGTTAGATCACCGTTAAAGTCTTAAAGATGCATTTGGTACATAAAATTTTGATAAAATAAAATAAAATATAATATAATAATTTATTTATTGATTAAAATTATTATTTTTTAAAATTTATATAAATTATAATTTTTAAAAATATAAAAAAATATATAAGTTCAATTCATTGAATTAAAAATAATTTTTTTACTTTAAAAAAATAATTAATTCTCCTTATAATTATAATTTATTTTTAAATACAAATTAAATATAATATAAAATAATTATCATTTTATTTTATACATTAAACATAATCTAAGAGAGATAGCAGATGATATTTCTTAGTCTGTCAATGTCTTCCTTCCTTGAGACTATTTATTTATTTATTTTTTACAAAATTACATTTATTTTACAAGTATAAATTACAATAAATAGGTGGTATTAATTTGTTTACTAAACTTAATGATTCCCTCATTAAGGATAGAATTACTACGGATGTAATTATTTGAAAGAGTGCTCCAGATATTTGACCCAAAAAGCGTGATGAAGAGTGTTGAAATGTCCTGTTAAGTTCTAATCACAGCTGGGTAACCGTAACCATTTAATAGTTTAAGCAACAAAAGTACGACCCAAGATGCAGTCATCCCTTTCTCTGTCTGTCTTCTTTTTCTTTTCTCTATTGGAAAATTCCTTTTCTCCCCTTTGATGCGAGATTGTGTTATCTGAATTAATCTGAATTCTGAAATGCAAATGCACGGTGGACAGTTTGCAGTCCAGCTTAACCTATTGCTTAGGGGCACACATGTTAAGGCCAACTAGGATTAGGCTCACTTTCAACTTTGTTTCCCCATTCTCTAACTACCTGTTTAGAGGCTGATAATAGAGATTTTGATCAATCGGCCAACTGGAATAACGTGGCTGACAGTTCAATCCAACATCCCAACCATCATTCTTCAATCTCATAAATCTTGCAATCCTAACTCTAACTCCCGAACACCTGAACGTACTCTGGATTCCTCATATATAGTTTGTTTTGAAATTATTATCTTTTACCTTATCAAAAAAATTAAATCTGAGAACTTAAAATATAACACGATAATATAATATAAAAAATATATATATAAATAATATAATTTATAATTTTAATAATAATTAATATAAATTTAATAAAACAAAAAATATATATTTTATATTATCATATGATACGAATTATAAAATATAATTTTTATATAAAATATAATATAAATATATAAATTTTAATATTTTATATCATATAAATACATAAATTATTAAATTTATCAAAAATAATCCAATTCAAAGTAGTTAAACTCCGGCATGATCCAATACACCATTTGCCACCCCTAAATATAATTATGTTATGACTATGCCCACAATATACTTGGCTTTCAAGGCACTTCCTGCATTAAATTGTTTCAGTAGGTAACTCATTAGCTATGTAGCCTGTAGTTCAGTTGGTGGGATTTTCTTTATCTAGCTTTAGAGCTAAGACATTATTAATTAACACTACTCATATATGGAAAGAAACGAATCCCAATTAATTGAAGCAGAAAAAAAGGATAGAAGAGAAAGCCAAATTGTACTATTTTTAAGTTATAAGTTCTGGAAGGATTATTGTATGATTGCCATATCTCAGAATATAAGATTTTACTACCATAATTTTTACTCATGTTTTCAAATCTTTTTTTTTTTTTTATGGTACTAATTTCCCTTTCTTTAAACTGTTACAAGTACCTTAAATTCGCCACTCCCCTTACTTTTGCATGTTTACGCAAAAGTTTTTTTTTTTTTAAATTAAGAATTGAATTTAGCTAAACGACACTGTATCTGTATGCTGTCACCTATCGGAGAGTGTTGTGGGCCAGATTTTCTCTTGCCTCCATTGGTGTGCGTTTGTATACTTGTCAGAAAAGAAAGTTGTCTAATTTATAAACATCTTTTTCTTTTAAATTTTCTGACATTTTAAAGAAAAATATTAGATAAAAACCCCGCACTTCGCAGCGGGCGCAATAAACATCAAATATAAGGAAAATATCTATTTTTGAAGACTTTAAAAATTGCTGTCACCTAATTTAAGATTATTGGAGGGTTTCACTAAATATATTTTAGCTTACTTATAGGTGCATATATTCCGTAAAACTCAACCAAAAGAAAAAAAAAATTCTCAAGTCTTTAATACCTTGAACATTAAACTCTTTTTAAGAAAAATTTCCGTTCAAAAGATTTCAGCCTTGAATCAAAAGATGTGTAAAAAACTAAATTGCACCCTTTAATCAATCAGGCAATCAAGAGACTATAAAAAAAATAAAAATTATTCGTTACTGAAGTCAGACATTCAACTATTCAGCAAGAGTTTGCTAGTATCCTAGGTACAATTGGCGTTGTTTTAATATAAATTGAAGAAGGTAAAATTATTGTACTTAGGTACGAATTTTATTATTCTGCAAGGTATCCTACTTTTCTCCAAGTTTTTTTTTTTTTTTTCAACAAGGAGATGAGGGAATGATATATACAAAAATGTCAAATTAAAAAAAAAATCATTAGCAAGTTTCGTAGTGCTATTTACTTCAATCAAAATAGGATTAACTTTTTAGAAGAAGTGGACAATCTGACCTTAGCCGATGATGAAGGATGAATTGCAAAGGCGCCCTCAACATACAGATAATCATTCCATGAAGTCTGCAAAAGAAACAACTTACATCTTAAAAAACCATCATTATGATTTCCCATGCGCGAATGGTTTTAAAGTTAATATTATGAAGCGTCTAGGATTTGGAAAGTACAATATTTTCTTTATCTGTGAAAGGAATATCATGCAGAGAAATTGAACCCTGAAAATCATCTAGAATTCCAAGATATGACCTCCCATTCTGCCTGCATTCAAACATCCTGAATTCTGATTAACACTAAACCAGATAACATGGTTTTTGAAAAACAAACTTATCCATATATTGAAGTATGTTGGACAGTAATTTTCTCAAAATTACCTGTAGCTGCAAGTAATTAAGGTTTTTTCTACATCGCTCATGAGGAACTCATAAGAATTCATTCCAAAAATCCATAATGGTCTTGCAAACTCGGCATTCAAGGAATAAAGTGGAAGCACCTCATTATTAGATTCAACCTGTTTCCAGAGATAACAAGAGGAGATGAATTTTGATGTACACTGTAAATGATTTCATACCAGATAAGTGCACAGCCAACTAAGATAATCAAGATTTCCTTAGGAATTTTTGTGCCACGTGAAACATTCCTTCTCTAATTTTCATTTTAAAGTGAGAGAAAACAAAGGTTTATAACCAGATATATTACCTCACAAGTACAGGTTTTAAGGCTTGCACATATAAAAATGGTCATGCTTTTCTGCTAAGTCAGAGAATGATAGGTTACGAAAATTTTGAATTTATATGCATTTATATATCTCAAGAGTAAGACTCAATTCTTTGAAAGGGATGCAAGGGACAATAACTCATTTAACATTAAATACATCCCCTACAAATAATATGTCAAATATACCCAGAAAACTTGTACAATTCCATGGTATGGTCATGGATAAAAACTTAGGAAAATTGTCCTTTGGAGGCTTGATGATAATTTTGCACGATAACTAGAAAAATACATTTAGGTATTCAAAATGGAATATATGTTTCAGGATATGACCAAGTAAAAGAGAGACAGATAAAACCTTGTAAGCCCTACTTGAAACTGAATATGAGCAAACCATTTGTGTAAAAACACTTGCACCTGCCAACCGTACACCGGCAGTGTTTCTAAGAAAGCCATCATATTCATCAGCATCTCCAATATAACAGATGCAAAGTCATCTGCTAACTCGCAAAAGCAACCAGCAGCAAATAATGGTGCTTTCGCCATAGAAACCAAGCAAAGACTGCAAATAAGTCCTATTCATTTTCTAAAAAACTGCGTGTCAATAAGGGCAATAACCAATAAGAAGATCTCTTATCTTTGGTTTCTTATCTCTGTTTGGGTAGGTGGGTATTTGCTAAATCTAAGGGGTAAGATATCAGTAACATTCTAAATAACAGAATTCCAAAAAAAAAAAAAAATCCAGATGCGTAGTATTGTATTCATCGCATCTTCAGAGGACCAAAACATCATCGTTTAATATTACAAAACGCTGCATGCATCAAGAAATGTTGAAATATTAACAACAGAATCGGTTCAAAATGCCTTGATCTGTTGACTTCATCAAACAACACGGACGCGCAAATCAGACAATTTGAAGAGAAAAAAAACATAAATAAAATCATGATCAAAATCATTGCATGTAAAATCAAATTATAGCAATGCAAATTAAAAAGATCCAATACCAAAAAAATTCGAGAAAGCTAGTCCAATACCTACAGCAATTGATCCATCTTTTGAAAGCTATTCTTTCATTCACTATCCCTGAATGTTCAAGATCCCCATATTTAAACCAATCATGCTAAAGCACTTGTTAGCTTCAACAATTATATATAAAACTTATGACTAAAAAAAGTTCAAAAGCTGCTATTCTTTATCCAAAAAAAAAAAAGTATACCAGAAGAAGAAGAGGAAAAGGAATTATCTAGACTATTCTTCTTAGCCATAGCTTTAATGGAGAAAGAATGATGGGCAGATGAAGAAAGGCATAGCCTTGAAACCCTGATCTTCAAGACTCCGAGTTTTCCAATCATCCAGGAATTGGGTCTTTCAGGAATGGAATTCCTCTTCAACAAATTGCTTTCCTTGTTCCTTACAATAACAATCATCGTCTGTTAAAAAAAAAAAAAAACTCATTGCCCATCTAATAAAAAGCCCCTCAGTTGTGTCATTTTAAATGATCATGAATCTAATCATTAAACTATAACATCATCAAAATGAAATATCAAAAGATTAAAGTTACACCAATAGAAGTAAAAAAAAAAACAGTAAATTCCTAAATATCACCATTATCATAAAATATGCTAATAGAAGCTTACAGTGGATAACCCAAAAGCAAAGAGAGCCCTGCAAACAATGGACAAAATATGAAAAAAAAATTCAACAAAAAATAATAATAATAAAAAAATAAAAGAAAAAATGGAAATAAAATTACCATGCAAGAGCACCAAAGCACATCAATGCAAACTTGACAAAAGCTTGAAAACTTATCTCGAATTCAACCTCTTTTAATTCATTTTTTTTTTTAAATAGGCTATAAATATGTAGGTTTACCTGCAAAAACCTCCTGCAGTAAGCAGAAAGAATGATGATAATGATGATGATGATAGTAGTAGTAATAATAACAATAATAATAATAATAATAATGTTTTAATATTACCACCTCATTACAGTAGACAAAACTTAGAAAGCTTCTATATGGTAAAAGACTTAGCAAACAAAAAAGATACTACCAATAGGTAATGACATCATAAATTTTTTTTTTCAACTAGTTGAAAAGCAACTGAGAAAAGGAAGAAATAAGGTAGCTTTGCATCAACACCAATCAAGTCTTTTGTTTGATTTTTCAAAGTTAGATAAAACTTCAAACATAAGAGGCTATACTAACAGCCACAAGCCAAAGTCTTTATCAATATAATAAAAGAATGCGACTTGTACACATTGTACTGATAGACAAAAGTCTACAACAAACATCAATGCACAAAGTTTACCCTTGACGGTTCTTTCTCTGTCCCTTCCATTCTACACTTTTTGTTGTCGTCCTTTGCCAAAATAGGTGGTCATTGGCCGGCCACCACTCCAATCAAACAGGATTTGCCAAAACCTCATACTTCTTGTTGGGGAAAGAGGTAGGCTTTCCTAAAATTAAATCATGATACACAAGAAATAACAAATTTTGGGTAATTATAAATAAATTACTTTGCATTTCTATTAAACTCAATCAGCTTTTTTATAGGCTTACTAACAGAAAAAAAAAAAACTCAAATAGTTAACAGATAATGGGAAAGTGAAAAAAGTGGCTAAATATTAGGAATCACTCAACCACGTTTAACAACTACTACCAACAACTACTACCCACTAATCCTAAAAATCATCGTCTACTACCAACTATATCCTAAAATCTAGGGCTTTGAGCCAAACGTGAACTCAATTTTGAATCATTCTTCAACACTCCCCTTGATTCAAAATCACATACTCCAAGACATAATCTGAAGTAGAAAAATTTCTCTCTTGAAAGTGCTTTGGTGAGGAGATCTACTAGCTATTCATCCGTTCCACAATGCTCCATTTTGATTACACCATCTGTAACTAAGTCACGAATAAAATGAAAGTGAATGTCGATGTGCTTTGTTCTCTCATGAAATGCTGGATTCTTTGTCATAGCAATTGCTGACTTGTTGTCACAAAAAAGTTTAGTTGCTCCATATTGAATCTGATAAAGATTTGCGAGAAGTCTTCTAATCCAAATTGCTTGACAAGTTGCTGAAGTTGCTGCTACATACTCAGCTTCTAAAGATGATAAAACTATTATAGCTTGTTTTTTTGAACTCTGTGTGATAGCACCTTATCCAAGAGTGAAAATACTTGTCGAAGTACTCTTTCTATCATCCAATGAATTTACCCAATCACTATCTGTGAATCCATATAACCTAAAGTTTGTAATTTGCCAATACCAAATCCCAAAATCACTAGTTCCAGCAATATAATGTAAGACTCTTTTTGCTGTTCCAAGATGATGTTGTGTGGGACTTTGCATAAACCTAGATATTATACCAACAGAAAATGCAATATCTGGTTTAGTATGGGTTAGATAAATCAAACATCTTACTAAGCTTCTAAAAATCTTTGCATCAACCTTTTTTAAACCATTTTCAACTTGTAACTTCTTATTCATGTTCATGGGTGTAGCAGCTGGAGAACAATTGAGCAAATTAAATCATTTAAGTAGATCCATTGCATACTTTATTTGTGAAATGAAAATTCCATCCTCGCCTTGCTTCACCTCAAGCCCAAAAAAATAATGTAACAGACCCATGTTTGACATTTCAAATTCCTTCATCATGTTAGCTTTAAACTCAGCAACAAGAGAATCACATGAGCCCATATAAATAATATCATCAACACAAAGGCAAATAATTATAAGATCTTATTTTTTTTTCACATAAAAAATAGGCTCATTCTCACTTCTTGTAAAGCCATTGTGATAGAAATAGCTATAAATCTTACTATACCATGCTCTTGGTGCTTACTTCAGTTCGTAAAGTACATTTTTTAGCTTGTACACCTTTGTCTCTTTGCCTATGATCACAAACCTTTCAGGTTGACTAACATACACCTCTTCTTTCAAGTCTCCATTTAAAAAAGTAGACTTAACATCAAATTGATAAATAGGCCAATGAAATTGTGCAGCCAAGGCTAAAATAATTCTCACCGTTTCAAATCGAGCAATCAGAGAAAAAGTTTCTTCGAAATCAATACCTTGTTGCTTCGAGTATCCTTTTGCCATTAACCGGGCTTTGTGCTTTTGTATGGTTCCATCAGCATGGTATTTAGATTTGAACACCCATTTGAGGCCAATTGCATTCTTGTCTTTTGGTAAATCTACCATTTTTCATGTTTCATTCTTTTAAATTGCCATCATCTTTTCTTGCATTGCATTTTGCCATTCTTCTTAGTTTGTTACTTCTTCAAAAGTTATTGAATCTGAAACAAGAAGAGCAAATTAACAAGTTTCATAAATCTTCTTCAAAGATCTAAACTTTTTTGAAAGTGTTTCATTTGATAATTCTTTAAAAAAAAGTGAACTGTTATGTCGTGGGTTGGAGGTGAAGAGTGAGATGAAGAAGCTGGTGAATAAAAACTACTTGGAGAGTTTGTGAGAGTTGATTCGACATCTTCATTTGTTGCATTCTCACTTTCACTTGGAATCATAACTTGAGTAGTCTCATTTTTACCATTCCACTCCCAACTTGTATCTTCATCAAAGATCACATTTCTGCTAATAATCACCTTGCTATTAAAAGGATTATATAGACGATATGCTTTTGGATTGAGTGCAATATCCTACAAAAATACATTTTTTAGATTTTTTCTCAAGTTTGTGATGAGTTTGAGAATTAACCAAAGTATAAGCAACACAACCAAAAATCTTTAAATGGTTAACCATTGGTTTTGTACCTCTTTAAGCTTCATAAGGTGTCTGATTAAGGACTACTTTTGTAGAAGAAAGATTCAGCAAGTAAACAACAATTGCCACAGCTTCAGCCTAAAAATGATTTGGTAATCTTCTCACTTGTAACAAGCTTTTAGCCATTTCTACAACAGTACGATTCTTTCTTTTAGCTACACCATTTTGCTTTGGACTATAAGTGCAGTCAATTCCTTCTGAATGCCATTTTCATCACAAAAAAGTTTAAACTTATTAGATAAAAATTCTCTTCCTCAATTGGTGCAAAAAGTCTTTATGAAAGCTCCACTTTGTTTCTCCATAAGAGCCTTGAATTTTTTGAAACTCTCAAAAGTCTCTAACTTATTAGATATAAAATAAACCCAACTCATTTTACTACAATCATCAATAAAAAGTAAAAAATACTTACTCCCACCAAGTGATGTAGCTTTCATAGGCCCACATAGATCAGCATGTATCAATTCAAGGCATTCAGAGGCTCTCTAAGACTGTCTACTTGGAAATGACTTTTTTACTTGTTTCTCATAAATACACCCTTCACATAAATCAAGAGATCTAATTTTAGGTAATCCAAGAACCATACCTTTTTTACTTTGTAACTGCAAGCCTTTGATATTGAGATGTCCATATCATAGATGCCATAATTTTGATACATCCTTCTTGCTAACAATGAGAGCTTGCTTTTCCACATTAAAAATTTTAAGTGAAAACATCTTCTTTTCTGTCATATGTACATTCACCATAGGTTGCCCAAATTTATCTTTAATGACACATACTCCATTTTCAAATACAGTTACACATCTATCAGCCATTAGTTGTCCAACACTCAATAAACTATGCACCAAATTAGGAAAAAAGAAGATATCAAAAAGTAATTTTATTTTACCATTGTTTGCCTCTACTATAACGGTACCTTTCCTTTTAACTTACATCTGTTTGTTATCTCTAAGTCTGACTTGTAACTTTTGTGACTCATCAAGATCCTTAAATAGTGATCTATTGGGGGTCATATGGTTCGAGCACCCACTATCCACAAACCAAACATCATTTGAACCTTCATTAGTAGGTAAATGAGTCATAAATAATTTACTTTCTTTGCTTTCGTCCTCCACATAGCTCACTTGGTTTCAGCAATTTACTTTTACATGCCCAAATTTCTTACAATTTTAACACTGGACAGTACTTCTGTTCCCTTTTGGCTCACCATCAGATTGCTTCTTTTGTCCATCAGAACGACCTCTTCCTCTACCTCTACCACATTCTCTTCCATGAAAACCTCATCTGCCACGTCTTTTGCCAACAGACATTTTCTTTCTAGTTTTTTCCCCTTTCACTTGAAATGTCTTCTCATCAGTCTTCTCTTATGATCTGTTCAGCCTCACCTCATAAGCCTACAAAGAACCCATTAGTTCATCAAAAGAAAAAATAGACAAATCTTTAGACTCTTCTATTACAACAACTATATGATCAAACTTTGAAGTTAGGTTTCATAAAACTTTGAAAACAACAGTCTCGTTAGTAATCTTATCACTATAAGATCTCAATTAAGTAACAATAGAAATTACTTTAGAAAGAAAATATTGCACCATTTACTTACTCATCATCATCAAAGTTTCAAACTCATGCTGGAGAGTTTAGAGTTTCACAGCAATAACTTTGGAAGAGCCTTGAAACTATTTCTGCAAGGTTTCCCAAGCTTTCTTTGAAGTGTTAGTTGCTACAATCCTAAAGAAAAGTGTCTCATGAATTGCTTGTTTAATGATAAATAGGGCTTTGGAATCCTTCTTCTTGTTGTCTTTTAGCCGTCTTTCATCGTTATCATTCTCGTTGTATCCAATTTCTACAAAATCTCAAGGATCTTGAGATTTAAAGAGTGTTTTCATCTTAATGCTCCAGA